GGGGCCGCCTTCGCGCTCAGCCCCGCGGGGACCTCGCTGACGGGCGCGCCCTCGGGCCGGCTGCCGCAGCCCACCGGTAGGCGCCGTCTCCCCTATTTGCCTGAGGGGCCGCGGGTGCCCTTCCTGGAACAGGCAAGGTGGGCCGCCGGCAGCTCCTGCTGCAGAGCGGCCTCACAACATCCCGCCTCCCTACCCAGCCTCCATTGTCGAGGATCGTGAGTGGACTGGGCGAGGTCCAGGTTTCAAGCGCTAGCTGCAGTCACCAGCGTAACTGCTAACTGCGCTACCCGCAGCGTAGGCTGTGACTAGGAGCTAGCTAAAGCCCCTGCCTCAGTAATAAGCTGTCCGTCCTGCTCTCGGCTTTGTTAGCCGCATTCTGCTGAATGGCGTGTAATGCAACATCTTGTTCAGCAGAGGCTGGCACAGAGGCCCAGCAAACAATGAGATGTGAATCTTATCATCAGTTAACTCACCTCTGCTTTGTACGTCCAGAGGCAGAAGTGACCAGCCAGCCAGCATCTGGCAGTAGAAGATGAAGGCAGTTCCTCAGAAAAGATAGCACTGAACTTTCTGGATCATACATGACAGAGTACACATGGCGACTGCTTACTGCTGTTCTGGTGGGCTTTTGTACAGACAGGGGACAGTTACTATTTTTTTACTTGTTAAAGCAGAAACAGGCCTTTACTCAAAGACAAGTCCCTTCAACACTGAGCATGTAATAAATTCTGCAAAGCTTGTGGATAACCAGAGGAAACAAAATACAGATCCCTACCTGAAGCAGACATTAATTAGCAGCCTTGCTGGTCAAAGTAGATCCATATGATTCTGTAGCACAGTAAAAGTATTAACTACTAACAGACTTTAAAAATTACTCTCTAGCTGAACCGGTTGTGAGGAAGGAACTTCATAACATGCCTGATGAGTCTGTATTCATCTACTGCCTAGTAGGAGACAGAGCCTAGTAAGTAACTGTTCTAATGCCAACAACTGATATAACTTTGCTATTTGTGGACTGAAGGTTAACTAACCTGTTGGAAGAATTGACTGAACTGTCCTTTTCTGCAAGGGATAAAGCATTTTTTTCAGTTTTGAGGTCTACCCCATCCCTAATGTGAACTATCTGCAATGCTTGTTCTGAGAAGTGGGTTGGGGAGGTGTGAGGCAAAGACCTTTGAATCATCATTTTGAAGGAATTTTAACAGGCTGACTTCAAACTGCACCTCTACAAGCTGTCCTTAACCCCTTCTTCCTGAACAGCTGGAAAGATCCCAACAATGAATTCAGGAAGAATCTGAAACTAACAGGAGTGCCTACACTACTTAAATATGGAACAGTAAGTGATTTATTGTATGTTTGGGATCTACAGACATTCAAATGGGAAACTGGCAGGAGCTTATGGCACTAAATGAATTAGTCATGCATGTTTTCTGATACCCTCTCTTGTTTAAAAAGAGCAGACAATTAGGAACAGCTCTTCTGCTCCCACCCATGCACTCTTCCTGGCTCAAACAGTTCTTCAAGAGAGAACCACTCTGCTTTCTGTATAATGTTGTCTATAGTAAATATATAGTAAAGAAAATATGTACACTCAGCATGTAGTGGTTGAGGGGTAGAGAAAATTCATAGCAATGTATTGTTAGCTTCCCGACTTGCAGCTCCTCAAATTTTAAAAAATCCAAATGCTGAATTACAGGAGTGAAACAAGTTATGTGCAGTACACTCTTGATTCAGACAGACTACAGCTCAAGTTTTAACTTGTGCATATTATTTAAATTAGTAGTTACTTTCTTAAAAATGCATCTTCCAAGGCCAGAAAACCTTCAGGCATTTTGCAATTTTCTTACCTTGCTTGCTCCACTCTACTCCACTACCCTCCCCCGAAAAACAATTGCTGGAGTATGGGTAATGTTAGTATGTACAAATGGCTCTAGTCTAGAACAGGTTTTTGAATTGCCCCTAAAACATCTTAATTTTTCTTTCAGCCTCAGAAGCTGGTTGAAGAAGAATGTTTTAAAGCAGAACTTGTGCGTATGTTGTTTACTGAAGACTAAATCCTCCAGTAGTCAATCATTTATGAAGATGTTAATCTCAAGTTATGTGCAGTGTCCTTTCAAGGAATCCTTAAACTTTTTAAAAAACTTTCATGGTTAATTACTTCAGACTAGTCAAAGTAAGTGTCATTAAATTCTAGGTCCAAACCTTCCACTAAAATCTTGCAACAAAAAACTGTATCTTTCCTTTCATGTTCAAATAAACTTGAATTTGCAAACAGTCTCTTTTCAGAGGAGCTGAGCTCATGTTACAAACGGAGAGAAGTCTACAATTACTGAAGAGTAAAACTTAACTGCCACGTTATACCTTCAATAGTGAATAAGGGGGGGCGTAAGAGAAACAGAAAAACCTCCTTATTCTTCCTAAATCTGACTTCACATAGCTACTGAAGCTGTTAAGTTAAATTTTCAATGCCAAAGATGTTTAATGGCTTATCTGTTCAGTCTTAAGTTTGATAAGCTGAAGGCTGACGGTCTTGGGTGTCACTGATCACATGTTAAGGGTTAACAGTTGCAGTACCTGTTCCTACAAGGATATGAAGTATAACATGAATGCAGTACAAATACAATCTAAAATATGAAAATTAAATACCCGACAGCTGCCAAGATCTGTGTTCTTACAATAAAAACTATACAGGAATAAATGGCAAATGCTTCTCCAATACTGCAAGCATTTACACCTTTTTTCGTAATGCAAATTCTTTTCACTACACGTACTGTAGAGAAGCCTAAGAGCAGCCACTATTTCACTGGCAGAAAACCAAGATTAAAGTAAGCTGACTTTAATGGAACAGATACAGCTACAGCGTATTTCCTTCTGTTGAGTATCTGCAAAGTTTATTATTACTTATCTCTGCTCCACCTGCAGTCCTTATCTCATCACACTTTGATTTCTATCTGTAAAACATGCTGTAAGGAAAACTCTGTAAGACCCCCAGCAACAATGATTACCAGGCAAACAGAAATGACAAGTAATAGCTCAGCTCCGTTTCAAGGCAAAAATCCATAATTTAGATTTTGTACAATATCATCACTTCAACTTTGCTCATCTGCAGTTGTAAAAAGTAGTACATGAGGGAGTTCTTACCCACACTTCGAGACAGATCATTATTCTCCAAGGAAAATGCCTCCTAAGAACAGACTTCTGAGCTACACTTTTTATTAGATACTTAAATGTCAGTAAGTAACACAACTATGTTTTGCTTTCAAAATCAAGAGGAATCAATAACTACAATAAGTAATGTTCTTACAAAATTGTCCATGCTACAAAATAAATTGCAGAAGTAGGTGTTTATCAGTCTTGTATCTTTAAAGAAGTTGATGAAAGAAAAACCCAGTCACTTGATAAATCAAAAATTAAATGTATACGCACCCAGAGCCAAACCTACAAAAGGGTTCATCCCTCTCTTGTAAATACTTCAACTGACACAAAGTACACCTTATCATCACTCTTCCAAGCGTTCTTCATTTTACAGAGGTGTTGTTTTGTTGCTGCTGCTCTGCAAGTGCTTGCTGGAGGCGCATTCTTTTCCGTGAATAGTGCTGCCAGTGAAGAATCTGTTGTTCATCAATAAATTTAGCACACTGAGCATTTACCAGTTCTTTGCGGAAATGTTCGTACTGGAGCAGCTCTAACATATGCAAACATTGAGGATACCTGGATTAAAAATAAACATACTTTAATACAAGTTTTTACAAGGTACACTAAAACTGGAGTCTCTGATAATTCTGCAGTTCATTATTTTAGTTTTATCATGTATGTGCTTTACTCGCATATCAAACCACTTAAGACTGTACGTATTCCACACACTGTAACTTAGTAACGTCAGTATTAGGCTAGGAAACAAGGAGTCCAGGAACAGTTTATAAATACATGTACATGCTTGCTTAGAGTAGTTCTTCTAATGGCTAGATTTTATTAAAGCAAATACATAACGACTACAATATTTGTTTCCAGAGCTTATTTAAAGAACATAACCAAGAACTGTTTTCCCAAAATTTGGAGTTTGCACACTCACAAAAATGTAAAGTCATCCTTTGTTTCACGTAAGCATCAAGAATGCAAAATTACTCTTAAAACGTACTTACTGGGCCTAACTGAAGTAGCTTTGTACCATAATGTTCAATAGTTTTATTTTAAACAAATGGCAAAGTGCGGATAAAGGCTGCAAAAGGAAGATTCCATAAACGACTCGTGAAAGACAAGTTTTATAATTTTATCTATTCTTGCTACATCTGGACTGTTGGAAGCAGGAAAATTTATGTTGCATACAAACACAGTGGGGAGGACAAAGGTAAGGTTACAGACAGCAATCAAATACTGCCATGCTGCTATACAGTACATAACAGAACGTAAACATCAAATCATTAAAATGCAGAAACCTAAGTGATTTTAACACTTACTTCAGGTATTTTGCATATTCAGGTTCTTTCCAATAAAGTAAATATTTAAGATAATTTACAAAAGCTTTGTCTTTGAAGTAGCCTCTTTGTGCAAGAACTGAAATAAAATGACAAATAAGGAATTGTCAGTTACAGACGCATTAAAAAAAGTCTGCCAAACTTGAAGAATACATATTCACAAAACTATACAAAGAGGCACCTTAGTCAAAACTTTATAATTACAATCAAATTTTGCTAATTCAAAATTAAAAAAACACAGGGAAAAATATATTTTTATGTCAACATACTAGGCATAATAAATTAGTCTCATCTCCCTTACAGTATGTATCTTTCATACAACAGCAAGGAAGAGAACAGCTTTTTCAGGAAATTTTGCCTGTAGCATCAAAATTGGCAGGGAATTAAGTATAGTACCTGAAACTTATTAACATTAGTAAAATTCTGTTTTCAGATAAAGGAATACTGTTAACTTGACATTACTTTTTAACTACAGACTTGAACTTTTTTTTTCCTCCACCGGATAGATGCACCTTTTTTTTTTTATTTCAACCAATAAAACATTTTGCATTTTTAAAAAACCCACCTGTTAGAAATCTAGACAAATTATTTACAGACTACCTTTATGCTGTGAAAGACCCATTCTCTTTTCTTTATTTAGCCCTCTCTTGCCCTGTTTAACATTACCAGTAATAATAAACACCATTAAACTATATTCATTCCTCAGGATCCTTATATTTATTTTTAAGTACTCACAGTTGAGGTAATTTGGATTTGCCAGACACTGAACAAACTCTAACTCCAGCTGGAACCGAAGTCGATTTCCTGTATCATCTGATATACAAGAAAACCAGTAAGAACTGGACCCACACAATAGATTTGAAAGTAATTTTCTCAGTTGGAGCCATACAAATAATGTGTTTAAACAGAAGAAAAAGCAGTAACTCCCCATAATATATACAGATAAATTTAGCAAACCCTTCATTACATGAATCAGCGTTGAGCCTGCATTAATAAAATAAACACACTGGGGTGGTTTTTTTTTTTTACAGTCAAGCAAGTGCAAAGAATGGAGGAATACCCACTGACACTTTGTTTAGAGTGAAAGAAAAGGGAAGAGCAAGAAGCCTGGAATATTTGTACAGCAAAAATTAAGAAGGTAAGAACAGGGAACTGTTCAGCCCATTGAAATCTTAGTTGTATGTATTTTTAGAAGTAGTGCAAGGAGGCGTTTGTTTTTTTTTTTCAGAAAGGTATCTTGATATAGTACACTAGTACGAATACTGCAGCGTTCTCACAGTACAATGTACATCAATCACTACTGGTATACCATCGGGGCTGATAGGGATTCAGTGCTGTTTGACATCTTTATGACCTAGATGATGTGACAGACTGCACACACTGCAAGTCTGCAGAATACAAAAAACTGGGAGGAGTGGCTGAAACACAGGAGGGTTGTGCAGCCATTCAGAGGCACCTCAACAGGCTGGAGGAATGGGCCAACAGGAATCTCATGAAGTTCAACAAACTGAAATGCAAAGTCCAGCACTTGGGGAGGAATAACCCCGTGCAACAGTGCAGGCTGGGGGCCAACCTTCTGAAAAGCAGCTTTGCAGAAAAGGACCTGGGGTCCTGGTGGACAAGTTGAATATGACCTGCAGTGAGCCGCTGCAGCAAAGAAGCTCAACAGCATCCTCAGCTGCATTAGGAAAAGCATTGCCAGCAGTTCAAGTGATCCTTCCCCTCTACTCAGCACTGGTGGAACCTCATCTGCTATGCTGCATCCAAATATGGGCTCCCCAGGACAAGGAAGACACGGATATACAGAAGCAAGTCCAGAGAAGGGACACAAAAATAATTAAGGGAGCAGAGCTTCTGACATACGAAGAGAGGCTGAGAGAGCTGGGAGTGTTCAGCTTTGAGAACAAAAGGCTCCGGGATGATTTTATCAATGTGTATAAATATGTGATGTGAGGGAATGAAGACAGAATCAAACTCTTCTCAGTGGTGCCCAGACAAAAGACAAAAGGCAATGGGCACAAATGGAAACACAGGAAATTCCTTTTAAACATAAGTTGGGGGCTTGGTTTGGGGGGGGGGAGGGGTGTTTGGGTTTTTTTTTTACTGTGAAGGTGATTCATTGTAGGAACATGTTGTCCAGAAAGGCTGTGGAATCTCCATCCTTGAACATACTGAGAACCTTACTAGACAAGGTCCTGAGCAATCCAGGCTAGCTGACCCTGCTTTGAGCAGGGGGTTGGACTAGATGATCTCCAAAGGTTCCTTTGAACATGAACTACTCTGATATTCTGCCAAACAGTCCCATCTTGAAAGATGAAATATGGAATAACAGCCTACTTACTTGAACCCAATACCAAATCAAAGCTGGGTACTGACAGTTTTTGTGCATTTAGCAGTGGTCATAAGAAATTCACTTAATTTCTGCATCTATGCCCATGACTATATGGGGTGGGGGCTACCATACCAAAAAAGAGGAATAAAGAATCAACTGACTTTGATGGCATGATTCTAAAAATAAGAAAGTATCTTAATTTTAAATTTTTTTCTTTTTCATTGTCACCATATTCTAGAAAAATGCCTATCTTTGCTATTGGTGTAAACAATGTTATTTGATCCAGGCTGGTTATTACAGATTTTCCCTCACCTATTTTCACCATATCACCGAAGTTCGTATTAATTTTGAAAGCTATTAAATATTTCATTGAGAACATAAGTTCTAGGGGGATCCTGACAGGTAAAAAAAAAAAAAATCCATGTAAATGATGATTCTACATTTTAAATTATTTTTTACAAATTACTAACCAGGCATTTTTTAATCTGTTTAAAATAGCCCACGCTGCCTTTAGTTCTTTTAATTTTTGTAGCATCAGCGAAGACCAAATAAAATATTTTAAGGAGGAGAAATTATTTATGTAATACTTATAAAACTTACGACATAGAAATTAGATGATAGTAATTTGATAAATTCTATTTGCCATTATGTTTTAGTAACAAGTCTCTAATTCCTTAGCGGCTCCACGTCATACCTCCGAGCATTTCCATACTACGGAGAAATGGCTATGTCCTTCAAAAAAAAATAAGAAACTTGAGCAGAGAATACAAGGGCAGTACAATGCAAGTTGAGAACACAGGTAACAATAAGGAGAACGCCTAAGTCTTAACCATAACGAACACACAGCAAACCCTTCTCGGTGGAAGACAGGCTCTCAACTCTGAGAGGCCCGCTGTTACCACTAGAGACCACTCATTCACCGGACTGTGAGGCCAACTTTCAGTTCCCAGCTGCGGCCATCGACAGACCTTAAGAGCAGAACAAACATGCTTCTGAAAAGGCTGCATCTAAAAACGCCACCTTTTTTCCGAAAAGCTATCCAGGCATAGCAACTAGTCCAGGGCTCGTGGAGAACTGTGAAAACCAATGCTTTGCACAGGAATAAAGATGAAGGACAGCCTGGGATTGACCGAAGGCCTTGTGCTCCCAGATGTGCAGCTCTGATTCCTGAATCAAGGGCAGATGTTAAAACGGAGGTCGGGGTGCCACCCGTGGCAAAAGCTATTAGATAAGAGTTTTGGGAAGGCGCGTTAGCTCTACCACCACGGACGCGCCCTCTGACGCCCTCTCATCACCACCCCTCCCACGGCCTCGGGGGGGGACGGGGACACGGGACGCGGGTACTTCCACGAACAACGGCAACGGGGCAAACGGGGCGCCGCAGCCGGCCAGACCAGGGCAGAAACGGGAGGGCCCGCGGGGCAGCAGGAGCTTGCCCCAAGCCCCCCCCCCTCCGAGGGAGCGGGCTCAGAACCCGCCCGGCACCTGCCGCCCCGCCAGGGCGGCCCCAGCTCCTGTGCGGCAGGACCGCAGGCGGCCTCTCCCCGGGCCGCAAGCGCTCTGCCTGCCCGACCCTCGCCGCGCGGCCCCGAGCGCCCGGGAGGCGGCGGCGACCGCCACCCCTCACCTGTCTCCATGGCGGCCCGCAGGGCTGCGCGAAACGCCCGGGCACAAGATGGCGGCGACGACCACCGCTGCCGGCGGACGGAAGCCCGGCGACAAGCAGCACTGAGGCACGCCGGGAAGGCGGCGGCAGTTGCCCGGCAACGGGCCGGGCGGGAAGGCGGGGCGGGCCTCGGGCCGGCGGCAGCGGGGGCCGCCCCCCCCCCGGCGCGGGGGGG